TGCACACTTACCACCATGTGGATTTTAGAAAGTGCACAGAAGCTTAGCGTGTGCACTTACCATAGCATGGATTTAGTGATAGCATAGCGTTCATTAAAAGTGAACCTAAAACGTTCGTTGCAAATGGGGTTCTTCGGGAGCAGCACTCTCGGCTCTCAAGCTGAGGCGGGCCCTTACAGCACATACTGGGAGCGACTGATAGCTAACCCTCACAGAGAGGGGAGCACTTCTCGGCTCGACCAGAAGGGGACGCTAGATTAGAAGGGGTAACCCAGCAGGGCCCAATAATAGACAGTCCACTGGTGCAGCTGGACACAGTCTCATGCTCTCTATCTCGATAGAAAGCGTGGGCCCCATATAACCAGACCCAATAGAATCTGAAGAAATAGCGGGACCCAATAACCATTCATGCGTATAGAGCTTACTGCTCCTCAGAGTAGAAGCACAAAGGAGGGGTTCCCACAGAAACACAAATCCCTCTTACCTCAGGGAGCGCAGTGTACTCCAGCCCACTCAGCAGAGGGGTGATTACTGGTTCAACCATAAGGGCAGTGTGACAGTGAGGACCCACGGGCCCGACCGTCTATGGAGCATCAAATACACAGGAACTAGCAGTAGAGTAGATAAAAATGGATTGTACTCACCAACCATGGCTCCCGCGCATGACTCAGGCTCATGATATAGGCTGGAGGCGAAGTCCGAAGCCTGGACCCTCGTGGAATGAAGGATTTAAAGGCAGCCGAGCACGTCTTGGTCTCCTTAAACCTTATGACCACCGTTTTGACGGAAGTGCCGAAAAGCTCAGAAGGGGAAACTGGCGCATCAAGAAGAAAGCCCTTCTCTTTCGACCCGATATCCACCAGACTCACCCACAGATGTCTCTCCGTAACCACCATGGCTGCCATTTTTTTGGATCTGCCAATGGCAGTGGCGGCCTGCTTAGTGGCACGGACAGCAAGATCCGTGGTGCAACGCAACTCAGCATCCCCATCAGGGGATAGACCCTGCCTTTATCCTGGTCTTTCAGCAGATCAGCCTGAAAAGCCTGAAGCACCACCATGGTGTGCAACGAGGGCTCTTTATTTTTTATTTATTTTTTTAAACTCAAGCCGGAGTGCAGTATAATGTGGTTATCTGAGAAGGACATGATATAAATAACCTGTCCAACAACTGCAGACAGATTCACACTATACATTTCCTATATAAACAAAAGGAAATTACTCATAGGGAGAAATTTCCCATCAGGTCCTTTCCATGTTCTCACTGCGACCGCAACGCGCAGCATGCATTCAGCTCCGGTAAATGGTTAAGTACTCACATCCCCCTCAGTAGTCCCGCAAATGCATCACGATGAGCACAAGCCACCTCCTCATGAGAAGAGCGCGTTCAATTCATGCTTATCCCTCACAAGAAATAAGAAATGAATGCAGAGCGCATCCAACACCCTCGAGAGCTGAATGCGCTTGCTCTTCACCACACACACACAGCACGCGAGCCGTGTGTTTATAATTTTGTTCAGTGTATATATATATATATATATATACAGGTATATACACACACACATACATACATACAGAGCTGTGTAGATTACTTTGTAGTCCGTTACTGATTCCACATTACATGACAAAAATTGTCGTTAGTAACGTAATTAATGTCATTACACATTTTAGGTAATATGATCAGACTACTTTTAGATTACTTTTGACTTAACTTGTTTGTCACATTGATTTAAATAGGATAATCGTGTCCCATATGGATATAAAAATGCTAAGAAAAAGAAAATATAGGTAACACTTTCTATGAAGCCCATATTTATAACACATTATAAGGGTATTCTTTAAGGCATTATAATGAATGCATAATACATTATAAAAGACCTTATAATGTGTTATATCATCTTATAAATAATCAGGTAACACTTTCTATGAAACCCATATTTATAACTGGCTTCATCACTCTGTCTCCTCTCCACCAATGAGCTGGTGTTTGGTGGGTGTTCTGGCGCAATATGGCTACCGTCGCATCATCCAGGTGGATGCTGCACACTGGTGGTGGACGAGGAGATCCCCCTGACAATGTAAAGTGCTTTGAGTGCCCAGAAAAGAGCTATATAAATGTAATGAATTAATAATTATAATTATTATAACACATTATAAGGGTATTCTTAAGGCATTATAATGAATGCATAATGTATTATAAAAAACCTTATAACATGTTATATCATCTTATGAATATTCATAAGAACAGTTTTAATGTTTTATAATATTTACTTATTTGTGGTTATAGCTTTTAAGAGTATGATGATTTATAACACACAGTGAACATGTTGCATCCTCTTAAATTACAATGGATTATATTTCTCGTAGTTATAATGTGTAAGTCTCATATCTTGCCATCTTTCTTAGGCTACTTTACTTAAAGCAATCAAAGACCACTTATAAGTATAGTGATAATAATAATAATATATTTTCTTAAACAGCCATAAGATCAGATATCAGATCAGATGAATGTGTAATAAGACATTTGCTTTGAACTATTTTTAATGTAATATCAGTTTGATTATTTTGATGGTACCCTTAAGACAGCTGTTGATAAGTAACTCTGCAACTACATGTCAACTAGCAGTCATTGGAGTGTTAGTAGCATGTCTGCTAAATATATGCTAACACTTTATTTTAATGGTTCCCCAACAGATAAACTCACTATAAGTAACTTTGCAAGTACATCAACATTCTACCTACCCTAACCTTAACCTAAGCCTACTAATACTCTAATGAGAGTTAGCTGACATGTAGTTGCAAAATTGCTTGTAGTCAATAGACTAAGGGGACCATCAAAATAAAATGTAACCTAACATATAAGCATTGCATTTTTTTTTTCAGTTGAAATTATTAACTAGCTCACATCAAAATTTATATTAGCCTCACAGGGAACACTCAAATAACACTCCACACCTAACCACTTACAAGATGTAGTAAGATACTGTGCAGATCTTAAATAAACAACGTCAAGATATATAGTCCATTATAAATGTAAAAATAGATTTATTATGGTGTTCATTGTGTGTTATAAATAATCATAATCTTAAAACTTATAACCACAAATGCATAAGTAATTTAATGTATTATAATTGTTGTTATGATTATTGGTAACACTTTCTATGAAGCCCATATTTATAACACATTATAAGGGTATTCTTAAGGCATTATAATGAATGCATAATGCATTATAAAAGACCTTATAATATGTTATATCATCTTAAAAATAATCATCATAACAATTATAATACATTATAATGCTTATGCATTTGTGGTTATAAGTTTTAAGATTACGATTATAAGAATAATACAATCATGTGACTGTAAGAAATATTATGACTGTCAGAATACCCTGGATGCACGGGCACGAGGAAACGAGGAGACATAGAGATTTCTCAGAATGAGATTCTTTTAATGATTCAAATAGGAGACACAGAGCACAAGGATGACGTTTACAACAAGTAGATCCGACAAACTAAACTGAACAGACCTGGGCTTATAAACACAGGATAACGAGGGACAAAGGGTCACGGGGAGCAAAACACACACAGACAGTCCAGAACCCTGACATATCGCCCCCCCCCTCCCGGAAGGTGCGTCCACCGTATAAGGAGGAGGCTCAGGAGGAGGACGGACACCCGGGAGGGGACCGACAGACAGAGACCAGGGAGGCGACGAAGGAGGGAGGAGCCAGGGAAGAGACAGGAGGGGCCCGGAGCAGGAGGTGCCAAGCAGGACCCAGGCCACAGCCATGATGGCGACCCACGGTGGAGCCGACGGAGGGAGGAGCCATGGAGGAGGAATGGCCGCCGACTCCAGGGGGCCAAACAACGGCGGTGGAGCAGGTGGTGGAGGAGCCCGAGGCGGATATCCAACGAGCCAGGGGGATTCCGAGGATCCGGGGGGCCAGTGTGGAGCTGAGGGCTCTGGCGACCAAGGTGGAGGCGGAGATCCGGAGATCCGCGGTGGAGCCGGAGCGACTGAGGACCAAGGTGCCAAATAGAATGTTCCCTATATAAAGAACATTCCTGACTAGCAATAGCAAGTAGCAGTCATGACTAGATAATGCCCCTCTTGCCTAAAAATAAACTCTTGTGAGATTCAGGGGTGCAGAACATATGAATTAGTACATTTGAGTTGTTGGGTGTAGAGTTATCATATGCCAAATAATGTGTCGCTTCTTCTGTGAAGTTCTAAGTTCAAGACTCATTACTGCACAGTAGAGGCATTGGCTTTGTCAAATGATGCTGCTTCTGTAGTTCCGTACAGTATAAATGTGAAGTTTTACCTTGTCAAATAACGCGCTGCAGGTTCTAAGGCTGACAGGTGGCCCGGAAGACAGGAGGCGATTCTGAATGATGATAAGGTTGAGAACGGGAGGATATTTTACTTGACACAAAAATTCCACAAAGTATTCAAATGCTACAAATGGACTGCGAGGAACAGAGGATATGAGGGAAAGTGTGACAGGAGGAAGGCAGACAGAAAAGAAAGGTGGTGAGATTCTTACGAAAGGAATGGGCAAAGGGGAAAACACAACTAAGAAAAGGATTGAGCATCTTCATTATTGTAGTCTAAACATGGACATCCATTTGCCACCACTTTGACAGCTTGATTGTATGGGGAATAAGAAATATAAATTCATATTTATAAAGCTCAGGTCATTCATCCAAGCAAAACAGGCTTTTGTGCCAGATAAAAAGTCAGATTAAAAGCTCTTCAGTTTGAGATAGACACATTAAATCTGGGAAGTGTGTTTAACTGTCATTGATGATCTTTTAGACATTTGAACTGCCCCTGACACTTAAATAATCAATGCTTTGATGAATAGCTCATCATAACACATACTTCTGTATGTAGTCTATAGTTTCCTTAGGAAATCTGCTGATGAGCTAAAACCACTTAATTTTCCAAAATATAAGATTTTCATTTATGATGTGCTGTGACTTACTTAATTCAAAAACAATTAAGCATGCAAAGTGCACACAAATTTGCATGCACACACAACATATCAATTTCTAGCATTCCTACCTTGACATCGCAACATTTTCATCATCAAACTAAAATGCAGTCAACCAAACATAAATGTACTGTACAATAGACAATTTAAAGGGATCATGAACTGAGAAATCAAATTTCCTTTGATATTTTGACATATAAGAGGTCATTGTACTATAAAAACACCCTGTAAGTTTCAGTACACAAAACGTCCTTGTTAGTCCAAAAAAAACAAAAAACAAACAGCTGTTATTGAAACTAAGCTGCCAAAAACAGTTTCATATTTCGTCATAGCATGACATCATAGTTAGACGAAAAACTGCCTTTGCAGAAAATTAATCAACGCCTATTTCTTCATGATTGCCTCTTTAGCCCTGCCCACCAATTCGTGCAAGCAGTAGGAGGTGAGTAAACAAGATGCAAACACAGGATGACTCAAACAACAAAACCATACAGATGTCTCTGAGGATTATAAGACGTTGTGCAGTGCCAAATTATGGAACAAACAGTCTTTACATTGCCTTCCTTGTTGTCCTAACACGTGTCTCCACTGGGCATGGACACGGAAGCTGTATATACTGGAGGCAACAAAGTGACCATTGCAAATCTATTTCTCCTTCATGTTACTGTAGTAGCGCAGGAGCTTGGAGTAAGTCAGAAATAGACCCATATTGTTTTTCGGAGTGTCTATTTACATTAAGTGCAAATAGCCCGCCTTGTTGGCAGAGGCTATTTACACTAACTCCGCCCACCAACGTGTGATTCGGCTAGTCAACACTACAAAAGACAGTCATCAGTTGTCGGATCCAGTGGCGCAGATGGTAAATCGTGTGTTGTAGTCATTTTGACGCGATCAACCCGGGTTGTGACTTGTCAGTTATGCAGTGAGGAAAACAGCACAGATATATTCGCTGTTTGTCATGTTGGATCAATTTGATCCATGATCGACATTAAGGGCTGCTTAAGAATAAGCGTGCACAAATTAGTGAGATTGTGTGAACTTAATTTGTCGTTTATGGAACCGCTTTAGCCCCGATTGATTTGTTAGGTTATTTCAAGTCAGGTTTTGGACTTTAATCACAGTTTTTTTTCGGGTTTCCGTGGTGTTGTGATTCCTCATATTCACGCTGCAGCAGCGGTGATGAGAGAACGCGCTTGACAAACAAATATATAGATCACAGATTATTGGTCACTTTCTAAATAATAAAAGTATAGTGCATCCACTAGTAATTATATATAAATAAATCGTTTTTTACCAATGCAAATATGTTAGAACTGATGCATCGCGATACAAATGCCGACTTGTAGCCGATATACACTTTTTAAACCGATGCATCGCATCGTTAACTTTTTATGCCGATGCACCGAGCGAATCGGGGAATCTTCCCATCCCTAGTAGGGAGGGCTTTATTGTCCCAATAAGGTGGCATCCATTTAATAATTTGAATAAAAATTTACACTCAATAAGTTATTATTGCATACTGTTTTATAATGTACTACAATACTGAGATGCAGATGATTGCCACTATTTGCAATAATTAGTATAAATAGCAGAAACTCCTTCTATTTTAACAGTGCAAATAGAATCTATAGCTATTTGCACTTAGTGTAAATATCATATCACTAAAAAAAATGCTGCTATTTGCACTTAGTGTAAATAGCATCTAATTTCTATTTACACTTAGTGTAAATAGCATCTATTGCTATTTGCACTTAGTGTAAATAGCCTCTATCGCTACTTTACATGACATTGTTTTTAGAGTATACATCACAGCAGTGTCTAATATTTTAATACATAAAACTGTTACCAATTATAGCAGTGGGCATTTACCAAGTCTAAAATGCTACAGGCCTATCAAAATGATATATTTCAAAGAGGGGGTCAAAACTTAAATTATGATGTGTTTGATGTACAAATCTTGATAGCATTATACGATAACCTCAGAGAACATAAAAAATGCAGTTCATGACCCCTGTAAAGGGGTCATATGACGTTGCTAATAAGAACATTATTTTGTGTATTTGGTTTAATGCAATGTGTTTACGTGGTTTAAGGTTCAAAAAACAAATTATTTTCCACATAATGTTACATTATTGTTGCTCCTCTATGCCCCGCCTTTCTGAAACGCTGTCGATTTTTACAAAGCTCATCGTTCTGAAAAGAGCGGTGTGCTCTGATTAGCCAGCTATCTAGTGCGTTGTGATTGGCCGAATACCTCAAGCGTGGACGGAAATGTTACCAGGTTCAGGAAACATTCCTTGCCGCACACAATCAAATATTTGGCTTCTACTGTTCTGGAACAGTGTTGTAAATAAAACTTAACCACTGATTTCTAGTTGTGTCCTTTTTTGGAAGGCCAAACAAAGTAGTTTGTTAGCGACGGCAACAATACTACAGCGAGAATAAAAGTCACGGCTTCTTTCTTTGCATATACATTTGGGCGGTGTTGTGCAAATCTTCCCACACTCTGACGTAGATATTTGGGGGCGTGTTTGAACGAGGCATTTTAGGAAGGAGCGGATGAGCGTTCACTTTTATAAAGAATATCTCTTTGGGTTTGAGACTTCAATCTTTGTGACTTTTTACAGATCTTCTGTATGCACGAACAGCTTTTAACTCTCCGAAGACAAAGGAAAACATGAAATTGCATCATATGACCTCTTTAAATTGATCTGTGTAACTTTGTATCAAATTGGAGGCACTGATAATCCATTAAATTGGATTAAGCAATACCTTGGCTTTATATTCTTTCTGTGTGAGCTGCTCACATTTTCCATGAATTTAATTGAATGAAATTGTGTAATTCCATGAGTTTTTACACTGAACTACACATTATTAAAAAAAAAAAAAAAAGATTTATGTGTATAAACTAGGGGTGACCCCGAATAGTCGAAGATTCGATGCTTTGATAGGAGGAGCCTGATTCGAGTACCAATCTCACAGTCGAATATTCGCAGAGGTGTTATGATCATGCCATTTTGGCTACATGGGGGTGCTCAAATGTCTGATTTCACATAGAACTACCGTTTTTTTCCCCAAAGTTAATATACAGCCTATTAAGATAATGCTGTAAATAAGAATCTGAAAAGAAAGAAGTTTTAAATAAATATTTTAATGTGCGTGAATAAATCCAACCACCCCTATAGATTTAAGTTTCACTTTCTATAACCTGTGACCGACAGAGAAGAATCTTGGCGGCAAGGATTTCAATCTTTAACAAGACTCATGATTTTTTTTTTTTTAAGATTTATTTGTATAAACTAGGGGTGACCCCGAATAGTCGAAGATTCGATGCTTCGATAGGAGGAGCCTGATTCGACTACCAATCTCACAGTCGAAGATCCCAAGTATAGGTCTCTGCAGGAAAGTAATGGGAGTTACCAGATCGGGGCGTTTTTAGACCATGTTTCCTGACTGGCTGACGTCATAGTGAAGGTAGGTTTAGGGCTTGGGTTAGGTAATGGGGATCATTTTGATTGCATGATTGAGAAACACCCTGCAGTTTGAAAAAACCCACACATTCAGAAACGCCCACTTTTGCTCTGCAGAGACCTCAATCTCGAATATTCGCAGAGGTGTCATGACCATGCCATTTTGGCTACATGGGGCTGCTCAAATGTCTGATTTTACATAGAACTACCGGTTTTCTCCCAAAGTTAATATACAGCCTATTAAGATAATGCTGTAAATAAGAACATGAAAAGAAAGAAGCTTTAAATAAATATTTTAACGTGCGTGAATAAATCCAACCACCCCTATAGATTTAAGTTTCACTTTCCATAACCCGTGACCAACAGAGAAGCATCTTGGCGGCAGGGATTTCAATCTTTAACAAGACTCAAACTGACACAGGCAGAGTGAAAGAGATGATATTTTGCTGAGTGTGTTATTGAGCTGATATCTTAAGGACTGCCGTGGACAGCTAACTCCTAAAATTTTTGATATTCTTCATATTCTGTGTGGTGATCAGTTCACAGCAGTGATAGAAATTAATATTTTCCAATAAGTAAAAATATTTTTACCTTTTAAATGAAACCAGTATTGACAAAATCCATCTTTGCAATGCAGAGAAAACACAGAAGCTGCATTAAGGGGCATTTAGATGCATTTACACACTGTTTAATGCAGGACATGAATGTATTTAACCTGCAGTTACAAATGCATTCATACTGTTTTGATATTTTAAACATAAAACGTTGAATACTGATATTTGAAATTATAAAAAAAAAAGAAAAAAAAGAAAAGATACTTTAAATGTTAGGGATGCACTAACTATGAGCAATATGACCGATACTGAGCTCCTGTACTCGTACTCGTTAAAATGCCCCGATACCAAACGCCGATACCACACA